CCCCTGGTTTGCCGGGACGGATCCACGTGGCGCTTAATAGGCATCGTGAGCTGGGGCCAGGGCTGCGGGGAGCCCAACCACCCGGGGGTTTATACCAACGTGGCTCAGCTGCTGCCCTGGATTTACCACGTCACTGAGGTAACCTGGAGCAAACGGGCAAAGGTGTGAGGGGCCCTCCGAAGGCTGCGAAACACAGGCAAGCGCGCCCCTGTCACGTCAGCGTCCCCTCTCTGCAGTCATTGCAAGCGGAAAGCAGAGCACAGGAGCAGAAGTTGCAGAGGATGTTACCTGCGTCTGCACTAGCTGGCTTTAGGAGTAGCATTGTAAGACCCTACTGAGGAAGCGTGGGTAGCTGTCACCTCCAGATGTCTTCAGCCAGACTGGGTGGAAAACGATTCCCACTCCTCCTTAGGGAAAGGGAGTTGCTTTTAATTTTTAATATGGTTGATTTCTAGTCAAAGTCATTATACATCTACATACAAACAGCTCCAAAATCCTTCTGTGCTCTGTCGTTGCAGTTGTCCTATGGAAACAGCATATTTTTTTATTATTTCAGCAGAGGTGCTTCTAGTGATCTGAGCTTAGGCTGAGCCTCAAATACAGCGGAGTTGTGACCTGTGCCTGCCCTACAGCCCTGGGTGTTGCTTAGAAAAATCCCATCCTATTTTTTTCTCTTTCAGTCACTGCCCTACACTCACCCTTGACGCAGGAACTCTGGAACAACCTCCCACCCCACAACATGGTACAAACTGATTTTTCTTCTGTTTTTCTTTGACCAGATCTACTAGAAGCAAATCAAGGAGAGACTTCAAAGAGCACAACTTTGCCCAGTCCACGTAGTAAGTGAACGTCCAGGAATAATTTGTACGCTCTGTAATCATACGCTCTGTAATCAACAGAATCCCCCGACGGCAATAGGAAATGTGGCCAATATAAATAGTTTATTAAAGAAAATAGCACATTACATTTCTGTGAACAATCCACAGAGGAGAAGTGGTGTTTTTCAAAATACACATTTCTTGGATCACTACATGGGTGGAAGGAAAGGGATCCCATGAAATCCAAGAGTTATGGGGAACGTTCTCAGCCCTCTGGAGTTACTTGAAGGAGGGGAGGGGAAAAAAAAAAAAAAAAAGCAAGAGTTTTAAGTGGCAGTCCGATTTCACATCTCTCTTCCTTGCTGCACTCCCATACGTTGGACTAAACCTAACGGGCAACATGACTGCCCCCAGGCAGTCATGACTTGCATGACTGCCAACCTGTGCGAGTTACAGCCAGGAACGGAAGGGTCTCCCCAGCCCCTGCTGCGGGTGTGCTCAGCTGGCCCAGCGGGCAGAACTGCTGTGCAGCTCTGCAATGACTCAGGTGCGATGCAAAAGCCAGCTGTGATCCAGGTACTACAGAAATACTCGGGAGTACAAACAGAAGTCAGACAAAAGTGCAAATGAAAAGGCTACAATGGTAGAGAACACAGATCAAAATGTTAAGCTCTTGGGCATCAAAACTTTTTAAAGTGGGTTGTAAGCACTACGGGGTAGGAAATATTTTGCTCCATGTGTGTAGCACCTGGCACATCTTGGCCACTGGGCTTTGTTTTAACAAATGCTATAGGTGAAATTTTCTGTTAAAATAAAACCTATACCTTTCTCAAAGTCAAAACAGCAAAACAGTTTGCTAACGCAAGAGCATCTGGAAGGGACACCAACCTGTCTATTTTTGTTGGCAGGCCAGTGGAACAGTGACAGAAATAGCTTACTACATGGAATTAACAATAAAAATACATACTAAAAATATACTTAATTTACCCTTTTTAATAGCACTGAAGAACTTTCAGTAGCTGAACTTTTTCTGATGTAATGGCGACTAATGCTTTCCTTAACACACACACACACACACACACACACACACACAAATATCCCTTATGCAGCATTTTTTTCAGGCCTTTTACAAGTGCTCCCAGAAGCCAATGAAAGTAAAGATTTCTCATCAAACAAAAATGGGCCTTTCCAGAGTAAGAAAAGAACACAGTGGCTTCCCCTGCTTTGCATGGTCTTAGGAGCCCAAGTCTGGAGCCAGGACTACAGGTAAACACCCCCACTTACTCCCACTGACTCAGGTATTCATTATCTGCAGCCTTGGTATGGATAAATTCTTGTTTGCCTGATTTAATTTTTGGAGCTGCACAATAGGGAAACAGGGCATCAAGACAATTTTTCCACCCCTTTTCCTAGTACTCTTTAGCCATTTCGCTTAATAACAAATGAATCGCTTCAAAATCCATTTTTATGAGGCTCTGTGAGTGTGATAGAGGCCAAGTAAAGTAATGGTGACAAGAGCAGAGCAGCCCCTGGACCACCACTACACTTTTATTTTCTCACTATGCCCCTGAAAAGGCTGGATGTTGACACATCAATAATGGTAAACTTCATTCAAATAATGCCAAAGGAAACCTTTGTTCAGCTAGGATAGGTATACTCAAGAGAAAGGGGTTTGCTTAGTCTGGAAATCTATATGTGACAAATGCATTGCTGTAAAAAGGCTTGATAGAGGGTAAATCATAAACTAAATCAATCCAACACAGCCTTCTGTTAGTAATGTGACATATAATGCTGTGACTATACATTTCATTCCCTCATTATATTTATTTTCATTTCTCTCCTACTTCTGCAAGCACAGGAAAAGATACTGGCAGATAAGACAGCAGGTACCAGAGCTACCTAGCTCTTACACAGTGAAAAAGTAAAGGAGCTGAGCTGACTTCCACAGCTGGGAAAGTGAGACTAAAAACTTCTCAGTCTGTTTTAAGGTGTTTTCCATGAGAAATAAAGCCAAGAGTAATTCTGCCACCTGTAGAAAACATTGTGACCCAGTAAAGAATTTATTTATAAATATGGAACATGCATTCCCTCCCCCTCCCCCCTCCCCCCCCCCAAATTTTCACTCTTTTGAAGTCTGCATTTCAGGGAAACCTGAGCAAACAGTCAGGAAAGAGCAAATTTTGGCACTTCAGCAGTCTTAGAAGAACACCAAAAGCTATCAAAGTCTGTGGGTTTAACAGGCAAATTGCAAGGATTGATGAGGTAAGATACAGTGGGCATACATGCCCTGATGTAAAACTGCATAGGTAAGATTCACTAGTGAGAAATTGAAAATCCCTCTAAACGACCCTTAATCAAGTAAGCTTGAGATGACACAGTACAGCACCACATCGCTTGCATGAGGGGCCCACCTGACAGAAGTGCCTATTCTTGTGAAGAGGTGTTGCATAAAAGATTTACTTCATTCCCCTGTGCTGGGCTTAGAGGAAGATGAAATCCAGGAAGATGGAATTTAGCAAACATCACCAACAGCATCTCCTCACCAGGACTGTGTGCCCAGCGGCTCACAAAGGAAAACTTGGATCTGGGCAGGATAGCTCTGGAGAGCATGGCAGGAGGTTGAATTTTCAAGCCATAACTCCATCAGCCTGCCAGATGGAGCAGAAGCAGCTAGTGTCTGTGTTACTCACCTTTGATTTCCCAGTCCCAGACCCACAAAAATCACCCTATTTGCCCTAAGGACATTGAGCTGGGAAATGCTTCTTCTCCAGTCAAGCCTCCAGGAAGTGCTATGCCTAACACTAAGCTTAATGTATACCAGTACAAAAGGGTCAAATCCAAACAATAGTTGAAAGACTCAGTTCACTCTTGCTTTATCAGAAGATGGAACAGGTACGAGTAAACACACCGTTATTTAATTTTGGCCAGTGCTGCTGCTCTCCTTTCTGTGTTCTGGAACAAGGCTCGGATCAGACTCTTTACTTCAGCTGGGGAGAATTCAGCTGCAAGGGGTCCTTTCCCATCCGCCCACCTAAATATGAGAAAAACATTTATTTTCACCAAACTGCATGGCAACTTCTTGTTAAAACCGCCCTTCTGAGCACTCACTTTAAACCCCTGCAGTTCTCCCACTCTTACAGCCCAAAGATGCTGAATGGTTAAAGTTCACTTAAAAGCCTAGAGAAGTTATAGACTTGTTAGAGCGGTAAGTCCGGAGACAAAACAAATCCAGTTAGCAGCGTATTAGCTGCATGCAACCAATGGTGTCCCACGCGCAACGAGTCCAGAATTATTTGGCCAGCAACAGAACGTGAAGTGCTTGTTGTGCTTCTTACAAACTGTACCTTTTCCTTCTCTTTCAAAGGAAGCCTAAAGCCTGCTCTGCCTGCAAAGTTCCCATTCATCAGCCAAGCCAAAAAAAAAAAAAAAAAAAGTGTTTTATACAGTGATGGAAGTAGAGTTGGGAAGTTGTAGTCTCCAACAGCAGCAATGAGCTGGGCACAGGAGATGACCTGCTTTTCCCACTGCTTTCTCCACGGCTTATGCCTTTTGCTTTAGACTGCTGAGGACGATATGTTTCCTTGCCATTCAGACGGCAAGCGTGAAAGGGACTACAAACACACACCTAAGAAATGGCCCTAGCAGCAGATACCTGTCTCTCAACCTGCTCCGAACCCCCTTACTAAAGGTGATTGCTTCCATGGGAACAGGGTCCCCTGAATACGGTGCCTTGCTGGCATCACAGCACTTCCCAGCTCCCTGTTTCTGGGATGAAGAACTGCCAAGTACAGTGAAAGCTAAGACACCTACTGATCTACTATTTCCTGGAGGTTGGCTTGCAGGATGATCATCAGCTCTTTGAATGTCATCCATTTCTGCACATAGACTGGAACTTCCTCTTGATACTTCTTATTTTTGTCCTCTTCAGGTAGTGGGGTGAAAACTTGGGGCCCTTCTTCCACCATGGTCCTGCAGAGGGAGTACAGCCTATCTGCATCCTCAGCAGAGATGTCCTGGAATTGAACAAATGTTAACACAAAAGCAGTTAGATGTATTTTTGGAAGCAAGAAGAGCAGGAAGCGAAAGGAAAAAAGGCAGCTATGTGAAGGTGAAAAGCAGTGGTTTGGACCACGCTTAACATTCGCAAACCGGCATAACTTATTTCATGAATGGCTAGTTTCAGCAAGTTCTCAGCAGTCCCCTCAGAACAATGGCTATGCTTTTGAACAGGATACCTTAATAAAACAGTAAGCGTTTCACAGCGAAGCAGAGTTGTTATGATGAAGTCCTGAACGCTTTGTAAGGAAATTGCTCAGGTTATGCCAGGCCAATAATGAAAGCAAAGTTTATTGGCAGGCATAGCCTGAGCAAGTGTCCTGTAAACTAGCTGTTACAGGAAGAGAGACATTATTGACTTAATTCACTGTGGGGAGGCTCTTTGAATGTAGATTCCAACTAGAACAGATGCACAAACGTGTTTCTATCGTTGCCCTGAAAAGGTATTTTCATTAAGAAATTTAATAGCATAACTGTGTTTGTCCCAGCATAACCTGACAATCACTTAAACACAGTACTGGGAATCAAATGGAGATGAAGGTGGAAACTACCACTGTGATTTAAGCAGATGAAAATTTCAGTTTGAACTATCACAGGTATATCAGCTTCTGGTGCCTAGATAGGATGGAGAGGTTTATCATAGATGCACAGACTGCAACCGTATCAGAATAGATGAAACTGAGACAAGAGCTGAGCAGAATTTTTTTGCTAAGTCTATGACGCTAGAACCTGCTTAATGAGGGGATAAAAATGTTGAGCTGGATATTGGAGCCCTGTGTGCTTCTAGAAGCGACAACAGACCTTCTGTAACGTGTATCTGAAATAGTCCCAGAGCAGCTCAGTTCAAATTCTCCTAAGACAACGGAAAGCACAGTGATGTTCCCAAAAGCCTACAGGACAATCTGAGCCCTGGGGCCCCTCAACCTCAGGACACCAGTTAACTCACGTACCCTGAACAAAGAAGAGACCGATTCATAGAGTTTTTTTTACATACTAGGAGTGGCACACCTAAATCTAAATTAAGATGCAATCATGGCCACTTCCCTGACCTTCCCCTTGACTATACAGTCATGGTATCACTGTAAGAGTATATGTGGTCTCATTTGGATGTGAGTTATAGGTATCTTGAACTTTTCTCATAGACGAGAACCGAATTATCATTTCAGTGAATGATAATGGATTTCCCTGAAACCTGATTTTGGAAAGAACTTGCAGAGACCACGAATGCTAGCTGTCAACATACTGTATTCGGTATGTCCATCTCATGCAGTTACCTCTAGGGCAGTGATCCTAGTGACAATCTCTGTGAGGGCTGTGTTCAGCAAAGTCCCCATAGCCTTGCAGTATACATTCACAGGAAGGACGTCTTGCCAGACTTTTCCCAGTCTTTTCAACTGGTGCAATACCTGGAAGATAACAGCTATGTGCTACCTATGTGTTATCAAACAGAACATATAAGAGAGGCACCGCACGGTAAGGTGACTATAGATGGAGAGAAATCAATTTTAAAGAAGAGTAAAGCAATGACGTATCCAGCTATCCCATACAGCAGACATTTCTAGGGGGGAAAAAGCAGTATATTCAGTTTGCGTTAAGGCTCATCAGAAGGGCGATAGTTCTTTTCCTTGAAAAAGGAAATACGTTAGAAATACAGTCATTTGGGAACAAAAGTTCCAAGATCAAGACACTTTTTATTTCAACTTGGAGCAAGAACCGAACTCGGCATACTTCAACTTTTTAAAAGGAGATACAGCCCAGGGAAATAAAACCCATGCCAGAAATGACAGCTGTTTGCAAATTCCACTCTGCCGAACCCGCGCAGTTCTCAGTACTGAGACTGTGTAGTGTACCTACTCATGGATAACATCCAGTGTTGGCTTCACTTTGCGTTGCTTACCTGCCTTATTGCTCTGTTTGCTGCACAGTAATTTTCCTCATCATCCATATTGGAAAAATTCCTGGCACTTGACAGCCTCTCCAGTATTTCTCCTTTCTGCACTCGCATCTGGGCCAGAAAACACTCCATCCCTTCAGGAGCAAACAAGAGCGGGGGGAAGCTGTTAAACAATTAATAATTTGCTTTGCCTATTTGGAGACTGTAACTGCTACATCATAAACTCGCCATAATGTTTTGTTTTTAAAAGCAATTTCCAGTCTCTAATCAGTCTCATGGAGCCAATTTAACCAGGCCTGCACTGTCAGCCACAGATTCAGTAATTTCTTGCAGAGCTTTGATTGCCACAACACTTCTGAGAAGGAGCTGAGTAGCAGAAGTAACTACCGATGACAGGCTCCTGATACAAGTTAATCTCAGATTTTATTTCCAAAGAGGGACCTAAAGAAAGCATCAGAAGACAGAATAGCAAATCCCAACTTATCTGTGAGTGCCACAACATCTCACTGGATAAAAAACTGTCCTTGGAACTATGCACTGGACAAGGTGAGCCAGGCTTTAAAGAGTCAAGCCTTAAAGACCATCTTGCCTAGACTCACAACACTCTATCAGACCCCATTACATAGAAAGTATGAAAATTTTTAAATAATGATCCACTGCTCTAGCCAGCAGCCCCACTTACATTTTAAATCATTCAGCAAGGAATGCCAGGATGAACTACCATTGCACTTATCAAAATATTTCAATACTGAAAGGTAAAATTACCAAGTCTCCTAAAACCCGGTACCATATCTACAAAAGTAGCTGTTCCATCACACAGGATGCTCGTCAGGCGGTACCGGAACTGGTGTCCCAGAGTGAGCAAGTGGTGAGCAATGTACATGCAGTTGTTGTGATGAATGGCTGCCAGCTGGGGCAGTTTCTGAAGGTTCTCTCTGTCTCAGGAAGGAGGAGGAGGAGAAAAGAAAGGAATGTACTTAATTAGACCTGGCTCCGCTAAAAAATTGTCACTCTTGAAAAACACACGGCCTGTCTCAGACAGATACTGCAAGAATCTAACTGCAAGCAATGCTTGATACAGACATCAGTCAGAATAAAAGCCTTCAACCTCTCATCAGATGCGCGCAAGAACTTAAGATACGGAAGAGGCGTTTCATGGCTAGAGAAATGGTATCTCGGCATTCCGAGTGTGTGTTATACCCACACTATTTCTAACAATGGACTGCCAAGCAGGAAGACTCTTGGTTATAACATGATGGCGAGGAAAGGAGAGAGAATTCCTTTCTAATAATACTCCAGTGTTCTCAGACACAATCCTGTATGTTTAATCTTTATTACTGCTTATTTTTTTTACAGGGAAAACATCATGAAAATCTCCAAATCAGACCTGAGGTCAAAGTTATGTGCCCGGATTCAAACACAACTGTAGTAGGAGCTACTTACAAACTATTTACAGCCACGTTACCGTTCGAAATATCTTAAAGGCTAACTCATGTCCATGTCAAGGCACGACTCTGTTCTGGTTATCCAATGGAGAAGTATGATAAAGTTGATCTCCAAGACTCTGCTATGTCCTGGAGACAAAACTTTAGCTCATGTTACCTGAGCTCCATGCATGCAAGGACCATAAGACCTAGAGGCAATGCAATTCATGTCAAAGACATATCAAAAACAATCTCCTGGGTCATAAGACTGCAAACTCAGAAACTCTCACGCAAATACTCTGCAACAGGTATGGTTTAGTAATGTATTAGGAGTACCAGCTTCTTCCCACTGGAGGAAGCCTCTTGGTAATCTTTGGCTGTAGTGGACAAACAGACAGCAAGTGGTGCTGATACAATCACATCATTGTCTCTCCAGAGCAGGCCTAGGTAACTAACACACACACGCACACGCACACGCACACACACACACGCACGCACGCACGCACACACTTACTTGTGGTATGTTGGCACTACATCATAAAACAGCTGGAATATATTCCGCACGGAGTAGAAGAGCTGTATACAGCTACAACAAAAATAAGGTTCATGTTAGTTTGCTAGAAGAATTAACTAAACTAAAACCAAGAAAAGAGGGAGAGACAAAGATGACAACTCTTGCTGGCTCTGATTTTCACCCAGAAACCTACTTGGACTACGAGCTTCAACAGCTTCCAAAACACCTTCCAAAACTATCCCTTGCACCTAAAGAATAATCAGCAAGGATAAATCTCAAACAAATGTCCCTTTCTCACTGACAAATCACAGAGCACAGAAACTGATGAAAGTGCCTGCACTGTTTGTTTTCAGCTTTTCTTCAAAAACTTCTCCAAAACAACCAGGTTTTATTAGTGGTGAAGCACATTTTCCTTATGGGCACAAAGAACGAACTGTCAGGATCAATTACAGCACTGTCAATAAAGGCAGCATTCTGGAAAACTCACAAAAGCTGTGATGACCTTGTCCCACAGAGGACAAGCAGCTGGCAATGTCCGCGCTCCTAAGCTCAGTGTGGCAGAGGGGAGCTTCAGAACGCATGTCAGAACGGAGATACGTGAAACCTCACAAAGGGGACCGTGTCCCTTCTCCCGTTAGGTGTGGGCAACACTCAGCCCTCTCTCTGCGACAGCACACTGAAGGGTGCTCAGTACCTAGGAAACGCCCTCTGCAGATTGTGGTCTCCAGTTTATAAAACAGAGGGCAAAGCCTCGTGTACGTGGTTCCGTTCCTCAAAATGTGTGCGTGTTTCCTCTGAAGAGCCCTGCCAGATGTAGAGCTGGAGCTCTTTACTTTTATCCAGTGACATGCAGAAAGCAAGGAGGAGCTCGCCTCAGAATGGGTTCTGGCACTTAACGTTTAGTTTGAAAAACAAGAGATGCTTTTTATTTTTCTAAAGAAATGACAGCTAACACAAGGTAAAATGCTGTAGTGAACAGAGCAGCAGCATTTCTCCCATCTAAAAGACTGGAGCCATGAACTGCTTTGTGCACACTCTTGGAGTCACCATGTTTTCACTGCCGTAATAGCGAAAAAACAATAGAAACCTACCTGATCACTCCCTGAAAACATAGGCCCCAAAGGCTGCTTAACCAGAGCACTGCAGAGAACACAGTCCACAGCTATTTCTGCTGTACCACTCTACTGCATACGCCCGGGGATTCAGCCTCCAGCCAAAACACTCAGCACCTTTAATGATCCATTCTAACTTTTAAACAACATTTTCTGCTCTTCTAAATTTATTTTAATCTACTAACAGATGCTTAGTGCTGCCAAAGGCAGACATACCTCACACCCAAGAGCTACCTGCTGTTACAGAATTCCTACCACTGATCTGTGCTGGCTGTAGCCTCCAACAGTGTCTGATAAGCCAGCTCCATTAGTTTCTCCACTGATGAACTGATGCGGCATGTGGGCAGAGAAAACGTGTACTGGCTCAGTTTAGTCTCATTCTCCAAATTCACCACCTCGCTATGCACAAGTTTTGAAGTCTTCTGCGTTTTTAAGTGATCTCCTGCCCCAGGATCAGGAAGTCTTGGTAAGGCTACAGAGGAATCAGGTGTGATCTATGGGAGAACACAAGAGAGGTATAACATAACTTAGAGCCCACAGAAAGGAGACCGTACAAGACAAAAAAACACTGCATGACAGAGATTTGAGACTCTAGATAGGCTGCAAGGCTGCAAAAGTCCCCTAAGACTCTGCTGGAAATCCCTTGCTTGATGAATGATATGGCAGTCCATGAAACACAGACTATAGTGTTTCATGCCTAGAAGCAAGCTCCATAAGTGATCCTGTAGTTCTTCTAACGCTTATGACTAGCCAAAAAAGCCTATAAAACTGAACTTCAAGGATTTTAAAAAACATCCTGTTAGTGAAACAACCCACTTGAGCACCATTAAAAAAATCTTTGAAACTGCTGTTTGCCAAGATCCCCAAATAATCAAGAGAAGTCGGTCCCCCATAAAAAAAAAGCACTCAACTGTGTTAGGCAAGCCTTCTTCATTAGCTAAACTATTTTTCTACATTAAAAAAAAAGGTATATTGCAAGAACAAGCACCTTTACAGTATTGTGTATTTCTGAAGTCATCAGCTTTCTGGCTGCCACAATAACATCCTGGCATTTCTTGTTAGCAAAGTGGGAATTGACATTACGGGCGTACTTCAGTAAGTCTGTTGTGTCTCCTTTCAAAAACTGCATGCTCTTCAAGGCTTTTTCAAATTCCTCTGTGGATTTAATCACCTGAGAAGAGTAGACACAGTTGCTACGTTAGCAGTGGTGGATTCCAAATTATAGTTTTCTAAAATCAAAGAGCAAAAGTAAAGTTGGGTATAAATTCTCCCACTCAGCTGAAAGTAAAGAAGGAAATTAAGTTTCAAAGGGCTCTCATCATCTAACAGTTCTTCAACAGTGTTTTGGCAATAGCTGACTCGGTTCGAGGCCCTGACAACACATCAGTAAATTCTCAGGAAGCTGGCCAGGCATGCAGCACTGCTACATCACTGTGAATTAAGACACCTTGAGCTCTTCCGGAGGCTCAGACAGGTGTTTTAATGTCATGCACCCTTAAAGTCCCCAGATCTCAGCTAAACGTGGCTCAAGTGCCATGGATCACAGACCTCACGCACTTTACCTGAAAGGAAAAACAAGCCACAGCTTAACTGAGAAAAGTATTTTACGTGATTCTGTATCAGCAAAAGACGGAGAAGAGACACCTTCTGTTGAAACTGCCCATCTGGAATTTCCACCACGCAGATTTGAAAGACTTTGAGGCCTACCTCTACATACTCCTCTAGTTTGCTGCTATTGGTCGGAATTGAATTCACCAGACAGTTCCGAATGAGGCAGTCAGATAACTCTTCCCATATCATGTCACCCAGTAGTTCTGACAGCGTAACTTTGCACTCCTTTTTGTCTTCCACACACTCCTCAAGAGGCACATCTGGATTCAAGAGAACACAAATCGATTTTAACGTACCTTCTTCCTGGACCAGACCCTCCACCGGTTCATTCAGCCCCTTCTGTCAGAACAGCATCTCTCAGCCGTTCCATAATCATTATTATGGAGGTATTCTTCCACATCTAAGCCTTACTGGGCATGTGGAATTACCCACCCCATCAAAAGACAACTGAATTTATGAGTAAACTAACCCATTTTCCCACCATGTTTGTTTTGTGAAATGCTAGCAAAGCTCAGACCAGTTTCTAGACAATGGAAGAGCCTGCATGTAGCCAGCCTGATCGAGGAGCTCTGTGGACCGCAGCACGACTCCCGCCTTTCAGACCTACGGCATGCAAAGATCATTAGGTGCAGTGACTTGTCTCAAAAGAAACATCATCCACCAAAGAAGTAATTCCTTGATTCTTTTGAGCCAAAACACGTTTCTCTTTCATTTTCACAGTATGACTGTTTTGTGAATGCTTGGTCACAGCCAAGTTCAGTTTGACAAGGTGCCGAGCTGCCCAAGAGCATGGCATGGCAAGTTAAAAGCTGCTTAAACCTTACACATAAATCAATACTGCTTAACAACCAGATGTTCCAAAAAGCTTCTGCTACAACTAAATGAACTGGGTGCTGATCAGCAACTCACTCGAATTCCAAAAGGGGGAAACTACCTACTCAGCAGATATTTGTGAAGAACTTCTAGAACCAGTTTAGTCTTGTCAAAAACCTCCACAGGAGAGGAATGGTCCAAGTTAGGCTCCTCAGATTTAAAACGCAGGATGACCACATCTGACTGTTCCTCTACCAATGGCCGAAGAGATGGGTAAGAAATCAGTGGCTTGAGGATGAGTTTCAGCAACAACTGGCCTGAGAAAGGAAAAAAATGGTTTTCAGCAGCAGTTTTCAGGCAGCCCTTTTGCTCCAGTGCGGCCCACTAGAGACTATGTTGGATTTAAGGATTCTTCAGATAAGGCAGAGGAAGCGCTCCCTTTGAGTACCTGTATCAGGGAACGTACATGCGGTGAAACACTGAGTTTGGTTTCATTCAAGTCCATTTTACTCAGGTAAAACACACACGGAGGCCTAACAAAGAGTAGCGTATTTAATCAAAACACGAAACGATCTTAACAGCCAGCAGAATTAAATCCTGTCTTAGCATCTGCCATGCTTCCTGATTTATAAACACCTGGGAAGGCTGAAATCCTGAGAATGCATGACACCAACGGTTTTCACAGAGAGAGAGGCTGTAACTGGAAAAACAGTTTGAACATCAGACGATGAAACCACATAGCTACAAATTATTAAAACAGTTTACTAGAAGAACCTGACAGGGAAAGATAAATAACTGAGGGCAGTTTCGTATGAATAAGAAGCAGAGGATTTACCTCATGCTTGCTGGAAAACACATGCCCATAGAGTAGAAAGATGTCTTCCAGTGGACTGCTGAAGCGGAACTGGATCTCAATATCCATCTTGAAAGAAATCTGAGCTCACATCCATCCAGTCAAATATAGCTATGCTTAATTGGAACCAACGTCTGTCTTACCAAAAGTTTTAAGCTTGGTGTGCAGTTCTCCTAAGACAGCAAATGCCTGCAGCACAGAGGCAACAGGTGGGCCAGCAATCTCCTCCTCTTTTGACGGTACTGTGCATAAGTGCAGTTCTGACTGCATCACTGACTCCAGGCTGCTGCTTTCTAAAGAAAGAGAAGAAACATCTCTCTGTCAGAGTGAGGCTGAGCTACAGCAGATCTGAGAAGCTACTGCATCGCTTGGGTAGCAGGTAAAGCTAACTCTCCATTCCCACTAAAGAGGGTTCCTAGGACTCCTGGTAGCTGTTCTGATCTCTGTTTCATCACTTTCTAAGAAAAAACACTGAGGAGTCACATGAACATTCAAACTCAGTTTAAAAGCTACCAACTGCATCAGACTGCTTGTAGAGTGACCTAAATACTCCGGAGTGGAGTGAAATCCAGACAGCACTCATTAAACCAACCTTGGTCCAAAATTGATAGTTGTTGTGTAGTGCTTGCAATCATACTTTGTTTCAAATAGGGAAACAAAAACAGTGAAACCAGCTAGAGTTGCGCATACCTTTTGAAGGAGGAAGCTTCCACACAGTCAACTTCTGCCACTCCTCTCCTAGATGATAGAGCATATTCTGTGTCTGAACTGTGAGCTCTGTGCTGAGCGCTTTCAGGATCTTCAGCTCGAAGCCCTTGCGGGATTCCAGCATTTTCAGGTTGCTTCGTGCCTAGTGGTAAAGGTGACAACAGTCATACACAAAACACGTCCCAGTGGCCTATTAATAAAAGAATATCTTGGGAAACGCATTGAAAGTATTTACGAACAATATTGTCATATGCTTGAGAAGTCATTATTACCTTTTCCAGTTGTTGAGCTGCTGCAACATACTTCTTTTCCAGCAGTGCAGTGTTATACTCTTTAATAGCTGTATCAAACTGCAACAAACAAATACAATCATACGTAAGTGTACATCTGCTATTAGACTACATTTTTTTACACAACATGGCTGAAGACAGAGGATCTACAGTTGCTTACTCAAAAGAGAAGCCCAGAATAATGCCGTGGGCTGAGCAAGAGGAAGACTATCATTTAACGACTCTAAGCCACTCCTCCACCTCCCCACCTCACCTCTTGTAGTTTTTTCAGAATACTCAGAACCAGCGTGTCTCGCTCCAACTGCTGCTTCAATTCGGTAAATTCAGCAACGGCAACGTTTAGATCTCGCTGAACCTAAAGTAACAGACCTATCAGTTCACTTAAAGCTGTCAAATGTTATCTGAAAAATTTCCTCCTAAAAGTGATAAAAACATAACA